CTACTTCCATTAACAGATATGTCATAAAAACTAAAAATAAACAACGAAGCTTGAAAATAAAACTTCACCCTACATCAAGTTGATTCAACACATATGGACAAAATATCACAGTCACCAGATGCAAAGTGTACTTATTTCTCTGTAGCTATGAGAACTGCTTAAAAAGAGATCATATTTGGCCATAAAAGTTCTTCACAAACACAAAAGGATTAAAAATATTTTCCCTTATCATACTAGATACTAGTAATTAAAAAATAAGAAACCATATACAAATAATTGAGACTAAAAATAAAGTATTGAATGACTCGTGTGGGGCATAAAAACTAGAAAGAAATTTTTTAATCCTAAAAGCAAATCAAAACAAATATGGATATAACAGGGCAATGTTTATTCTTAGCTTCCATTTTTAGTTGAAAATAATTTTTCACAGAATATATTCTGATCAGTATTCCTCCTCCATCACATACTCCCAGATACTCCCCAGTGCTTCACTCTCCCAATTCTTTCTCTCTGTTTTAAGAAAGGACACAGGAAAAAACCAAACAGACCAGAAAAAACAAAATAAATAAATAAATAGAAAAAAAGGAGAACACCAGAAATATGTATACATGTAGAAAGACTAACATCTAAAAAGTGCAAAATACATGAAAACATAAAATTGGAAACCATAATATAAAAGCAAAAAACCATTATGGTTTTAAAAAATCCCAATTGAAACCTTGTGAAACAAAAATTTCCAAAAATAACATTGAGCTCATTGCTGATTATCTACTGCTGGGCATGCAGCCTACCCTGAAGTGTGTCTTGTATATCCAGGGAGACTCCATTGGGAAAAAACAGTTTGTCTTTGCTGGCAGTTGATTTTTGGAGATGACTCCTGGAAGAAGAATGGGGGATAGGTATGTTGGGTCCAAAGGGTCACACACTCTATGGGAGTGATGGTGACATTGTCTTTAACAGAAGGATGATGACAAGGTAGAAGAATTCTTCTTAGATGAATAGAACCTAAATCTGGCATTTTTTTCCTGAGAAAGGGTTTCTCTGTATTGTTTTGTTTTGGAGGCTGTCCGGTAACTCGTTCTGTAGACGAGGCTGGCCTTGAACTCACAGAGATCTGCCCTCCTCTGCCTCCTGAGTGCTGGGATTAAAGGCATGTACCACCAACTCCGGGATAAATCTGGCATTCTTTGGGAGTCTGCTAAAACACATTTCTGCTTACCAGAAACCTTGTTCAATCTGTCCCCAAAGGTCAGCTCCTCAAGCAAGGGCATCTAGTTTCTGACAAATCCACACTCGTGCACTGTCATAATTCCATCTGGATTCACAAGGATCCTTATTTTATGGGACCTGTTGTTTGCATATTGAAGAACCACCATAGTCTAGACCAGTCAGTCCTCAGACCTTATCAGACAACAATGATGTGTGCAGTTGACAATGGTTAATGCAGTGCATCACAACTGATCCAAGTTCAGAGAATACGTGTCAGCATATTGATTAGAAAATAATGAGGCATCTATGCCACAGCGCTCCCAAGACTCAAGGACCATTGCAGAAGAGGTTGTGAAAAGATTGTCAGAGTCAGAGGTCAGGCAAGACCAAAGCAAAACATGACTGTTTCATTCATAAAAATCACAGCAGTTGTGGTTGTCTGCAAAATGAGTAGATACAGGCATCTGATGGGTTCATGTATAACAGTTTCAGTTTTCTCTAAGGGTGTGGCTACTCTGAGTTTGGCCTTGCTCCAGAGGATATCTTCACTCTTCTCAGTTTATGGGTAGTGGAGGTGGGACTTTCTTGGTTATAAAATAAAATCAAGAAAAGAACTTCAATTTGGAAAGAGACATGTAAGGATATCTTGTGGGTTTTGGTAGGAGGGAAAGGGGTGAATATCATCAAACTACAGGACATGCATAAAACAAACTTAATGAACTGGTAAATATTGTATTAAAACATTGAAAATGGAGCACAATAAAGAAATAGTTTATCATGGAGATTAGTATAATTTCATGGATACTAGGATGACTGAGAAATTACTAATCAGTAAGTGCAGCAGAATGTATGAATAGACTTAGGGACAGGAATGTGATAATCACCTCTATTGGTGTCAAAATGGCATACACAAAAATCAAACACCTTCATGCTTAAAAGCTCTGAAGAAACTAGGAAAATAAAGGATACATCAAATATTACATAAATGAGTGAAGGTAAAATTATTTCCTTTATAATTAGGACCAAGACTACTTTCTCCACTCTTAAAATCTTAGCTAGAATTCTGGGAAAGACGGAAAATGGCATACAAGCACAAAAGGAAGAAGACAGTTTATACCTGGTAGCAGGCAGTAATATCCTATATGGGAAATGCCCTAAAATTCTACCAGAAACAAATATCTTAGATACAAGGTTCAGCAAAGTGGCAGACTACAAAACCAATGTTCCAGTTCAGTAGTATTTCTGTAATACAACACTGAAAGTTCTAACAGAGAAGCCAGGAAAAGCCCCATTAGCAAAAAGAAAACGAAAACCTTAGGATAAACAGGAGCAAGGATGTAAAAGTCTTCCACAGTGAAAAATTCCTAACTGAAGAAGGAAATTAAAAAAAAAAAACAATAAAAGCTGAGAAGACATATTCTCACTCATAGGTTGATTTAATACTGTTAAAATAACTGTATTACAGAAAGCAATCTTCAAATTCTATTAAGTCCTTATCAAATACATAAAAACAGGAATTTTCACTGAATTGGAAAGTACAGTTTTAAAATGTACATGGTATTTAAAAGAGCTCACTCCAACAAAGATGTCAAACACAGAAAGGACCATGTCAAAAACATCAAAATGCTTACTGAAATCATATTTCAGATCAGAATATTATATTAAATAGCAAAAACTGTTGCACACTGCCAGAAAATAGATATATATACCAGTAAAGCAGACCTCAGAACCCAGAGATAAACCTACAAAAATACAGCCACACAATCTTTGATAAAAGTGTCACTAACACACATTTGAGGAGAGAGCGCCCCTTCAGTAAATGGTTCTGAGAAAGCTGGATGTCCTCATGCAAAAGAATGGACTAGATCCATTTCTCTTACTCTGCAAAAAGTCAACTCAAATGAGTCAAAGTCCCAAAGCTAAGACTGACAGTCAAGGGGAAAAGACTTCAGGGTTTATGAAGTGGCAAGGACTTTCTAAAAAGCTCTTCATTCTTAGGAAAGAGAATTGTGACCATTTACATGATCTTGAAAAGTGTATACTCAGGAAATGTAAGAATCAGTAAGATACAGCTTATAGGATTAAAGAAAGATGTGCAGAACTATACATATGATGTGTATTTAGCACCTAGACTACACATAGAAGTAAAAGTGATTCTTAAAACCATAAAATTAATAAAAGGTAAGGAAATGAACAGCCAGTACATAAAAGGGAAATGACCACCAATTTATGGAAAAGATTTATTGTTTTTAGCCATCAGGGTAATGGAAATGAAACTGATACTGAGATTTCAAAACAGCAGCCACCATCCAAAGAACCTGTCACCAACCATGCTGGTGAGGATACTGGAAAAAAAGAACCTCAAAACTAAAACTAGAATTTTCTTGGGATCTAGCTTTCACAATTCCAGGTACACATCCAAAATCATTAAAGTCACGATCCCACAGAGACCCCCCCAGAGACGGATATGTGTAATTGGATTGTTGATAAGAGACACCATGTGGAGCCAACATAAACGAACATCAGAGAAGATAAAGAAAATGGGGTGTGCATAATCAATGGAATTGTATACATTCCTAAAGGTCAGTTGAACACTTTGTAGGAGAATGGACTCAGCCATCATGGTAAGTTAAAAACTCATTCACAGAAAAGCAAATATTATACATTTTCTATCACATAAGACTTTAGAATAAAAACAGTATCATTTGCATAAATATTTAAAAAGCATTATATTTCTCTAAACTGATTATTTCTATCAGTTCATTGGTAGTTACGAATACATAAAATTTAATTTTATTGAAAATATGTTCACCACATTTTCATTTATAATTTAGAGTGAGGCTATGATGTTTATAAATTGTTCATGTAACAAGCAAATAGCTCTCAACAATATTCAGTATGCATATTGCTCTTTGTGGCATATAGCTCTAAATATTTTGCAAAGATAACTGAAATTTATTTAAATTTATGAATTTTATTGTGTTTAAATTATATATAGCAATGGGATTTGAATGTTATGGGTCCTTTTTAGAACATTTCAATATGATGTGGATATAATCTTCAAACTAGAGAGTGGTAGGCTGAATGAGTGCATTTGTGGTCCACATGTACATGGACTGTAAGTTACAAGAAATGATGACAGAGCCTGTTTCCTGCTAATGACAATGTACAGAGTTAGAGACCCAAGGGAAAACACAGTTCTGTGAAACCATTGTTTAGTTCTACTGTAGTGATTGATTTTAAAGCAAAACACAGAATTATGAAGCAGACACACACAAAAAAAGAATTCCAAATAAACCACTCTTGATCTCATCAATGTCAAGATTGTAGTAGCCACCAGCAGAAGGGCAGGAATAAGACATTGCCATTGCCATTGGTGAGTGGTACAGAAGTTCCCACATTATAAAAATTCACCTAAAACAGCAAAAGAAAGTGGTGGAAACACTGTAAATTTCTGCATTTCTAGGTCATACTCCTGTTTCAAAACAGGAACAAAAACAGAAATGTGAAGAGAAATGACTGGCTGATGTGCTGGTTGTCCCCATTTAATCTGATCTTTGTCCTTCTAATGAGGAGTGACGGCCATTTCTAAGCTCTCACATCTGGTTACATTTAAATGACCATCATAGTTCTTCATCATACAGAAGAAGAGTTGATACAAAGTCACAAAAGCACATACAAGTCTAAAAAGGGACAACAGCTCAGAGTGCCACTGTCTCTCTGCAGGAAAAGATGAAAAAGGGGTGGGGTGTGGACAATGCTGAGAAAATGAGCAAGAGTCTTGTCAGGACTGGTAGCCAAGACCTTTTTATTTGTAACAAAGAGGCAAAGGGGCACCGTCATCTGGTGAGTGGAATGCAGAACCTTGCACACGAGATGTCAGCATCTGAGTGGGCAGGGCAAGGAGGGAAGCCAGAGGAGAGAAGGCAGATGCATGGACCAGTCTGCTGAGCATGGCTTCCTCCTGCAACAGTTGTCTGAAGTCTTCCTCACCTAGGTTAGCAACAGCCACCAGACTGTTGGCTACTGCCACAGCTGCTGCCCCCGCTGCTGCCACAGCAGCCACTGCTGCCCCCGCTGCTTCCACAGCAGCCGCTGCTGCCACCACTGCTGCCACAGCAACCACTGCTGCCACCGCTGCTACAGCATCCAGAGCTGTGACGATGGCGACGAAGAGATCTGCGGGGCCTGTGGTGGCTCAGGCAGCAGCCGCCACCCCCAGAGCTGCAGCAACCTCCGGAGCTGGAGCCACAGCATCCACCAGAGCTAGAGCCACAGCCACCAGACCCCAGGCTGCAGCAGGATGACACAGGGGGGCATTTAGGAGGGCATTTTGGGGGGCATTTTGGAGGACACTTTGGTGTCTGGCACTTGGGAGGGCACTTTGGTGTCTGGCACTTGGGAGGACATTTGGGAGGGGGCTGGCACTGCTGCTGGCTCTGCTGGCAGGACATTTCAGCTGTGGTGTTCAGAAGCTGCAAGAGAATCACACAAATATTATACCCCAGACACTGTAGCCACCTGGCCCATTGTGACCACACTGAAATTTCACTGATAGCATCGTAACACTATCTGTAGTCCTCTCATTCATAGCATCCTCATGCTGTCACAACATGATCACCATGAATTCAGAACCTCAGAAACCCATGCAAGTGAGACACTAATTGCCTCCTGTTTTCCCAAAGCACTAAATGAATATCTAGTAACATTCTAAAATGTCTTCTGTTCTTAGTCTCATACATGTACCAGTATATGAATTATCTCAGAGAAAACTGGGTGTAAAAGGAAAAAGTAATCATTACTTAAAGGTGGTTTTAAAGGTCAGTATCTCCCACACCTTCCAGATAACTGATGGGGGAGTATGCTCACTCCCTGAAATAAATTATGTAAGCATTTCTAAACCTACCACAACAGCACTCAGCTCTGTTATGAGGTCAGAGTTCAGAGGAATCCAAGCCACCACCTGCTCAGACTAAGGCTGGCAAGGTCCCTGTTGTCATGGTGATATCCTGCTCATCGGAGAAGTGTGTGGACAGACTCCAGAACCAGGACTGTCTTTCTTTCCCACACTAAAGTGAGACTCTACTTCCTTTTCCTGACTCCAGCTCTTCTTCAGAAGTGAGGGGAAGCAGTCTCTTCACAGACCACCTCCACCCCGAACCTGTCAAGACGCACAGTTGTCTGTGCTCAGTGTTCCATCCGGAGGGTTTCCACACACCAAAGGTGCTTTGTTCTCCCCAGAGACAGAATGCTCCAAGCATTGCAGTGTCTCTCAGAACCAAGGCTGTGGCTTGTGTCTGTCAATATCACCATTGTCTGACCCCTCACTCTTCAACACATTTAATGACCTAACAATATGGCCTCTAGGCTGAGAGACCCTTCCCAGGCTCCTCTCCTAGTGTGGCAACCCCTCTGGAAAGATCTCTGCTCTTGCCTTCCATGGACACTTACCAAGATGATAGGCAGCACAGGATCTGTGGGTATCTCGGGAGGACAGAGGATGGAAGGGCCCTGTCCCTCAGCCCTTTTATTCTGATGCAGGTCTCTGTCTCAGCCTGTCAGACAGTGACTGCACATGGGAGGCTCTGCCTCCTGACACCCACATGGTCATGTGACTGGTGATGACCAGATGTTCCTCACCAGCCTTCCTCCATGAGTCCCAGGCATGCTGCATCTATCTTAGGACATGGCTTAGGCATGAAGGGAGGAAGTGGATTCCTGAAACCTTAAGCGTGGCATGCCTGCATCATATCTAACTTAGGAACCACTCACTTCTCCATCTTCTTTCTTTTCTGTCCCTTCTTAGAGTCATCTGTGTAGCACGTAGCCCATATCAACCTAGGAAAACCTTGAAGTTTCTTCCATATCAGCTTCTATGTCTGCACTTTTCCAATTGTGCTTTTGTAAGTCCAGTCCAAGCATCTACACCAGGAAAACCCTGCATGATAGATTCAGGACAGCACCAAGGTATGTATGGTTCTGAAAGCCCATTTAGGCTGTGCCATTTCCCATTTTAGCTAAGGCATTGCCATATTAAGGGGAATATAAGATGGTTAAAAAATAAATGAAGCCTCAAATGACCATATGAACTGTTCATATAAGATAAATGTGCAAACTACTAAATATAGAATGAGAATAATTCTCTGTAAACACTGCAACTGAGAGATGGCTCATCAGTGAAGGATGTATACTGCACTTACAGAGGATCTGTGTTTGGTTCCTAGCACCTAAGTAGGGCAGCTCACAACCATATGCAATTCCAGCTTCAAGGTCTCTAATAACCTTTTCTTCCCTCCAAAGTTAAATGCTGTCAAGTTTATATACACACAGAAGCAAACATGTACGCACACACACACACACACACACACACACACGTTAAAATAAGAATATGATCTTGAAAATAGCAACTGAAAGGAAATGGATAGTTTCTATAATTGAAATGTATGCAAATGTTCCAAGGAAATGCAATATTTGGCTAAATTTATATACATTATAATAAAAAAGCAGTGAATATGTCCAGATAGAGTGCACATCCTCATTTGAAATGTTTCCTTACATTTGTATTAGTAAAGTTTTTATATCAGAATGTTCATGAACTTACATGTAATCCTAATTTGAGAATGTACTACTCTTCTAAATATTACTGTATACTCTGTAGAAGCAGAAAACCATGAAAACTGCATGCTATTAATGATTAGGTCAGATGGCACATTAGTAAAAAGAAAATCAGGAAAAGGTAGAGGGGTGATGTTGTTTACCTAGAAGAAATAGAGGAATAGAGTCAGGCTACTCTGCATGTGAGACAAAGAGCTAATGGTTCATTTCCCGGAATGAAGGAAGGCAGGCTATTTTAAAAAGAATCATTCCTCAGTACTTCGTAAGAATGTGTTTCTGTGGTCATTACCTCTGTTCTCTCTGGGTGTCTGATTTTCATTTAAATTCTACATGTCCATAAGCTATATACAAACATACCATCTGAACTTTTTGCATTTCAAGATTTAGTAGAAATTGTTGTGATTCATCATAGAAGAATACGTTTTTAAAGAGTCATGATTTAAGATTACCTTAAATTTAAAATATATTAGTGAGAAGAACAAAGAAATACACAAACTAAATCAGCAAAATCTCTTCACCTAAATGCTGGTGAACTCTGAACTTTCCAAACCTTAGGAATAACATGAGTTTTGGACACAGGGTAATGGTGAACACCAAGAAAATTACATAGAGAAACTTGGGTGTTTATAAATCTATAGAGAGTCTTCATATAGAGAGCTGCGTACCTCCCAATCTACTGTCTTTCATTTTCATCTATCATCAGTTTCCAAGTCTTTACAAAAATACATCTAATATTTGCACATACCCCAAGTTCTAACTCTAAATATGGCCCCTGTAGGTCCTCGAATTTTTCATTTATTATGTTGCAGTACTAGATCCATAGAAGACCTAACAATCCCAAAGATAACTACCACAAAGTCATTAGCAAAGGCTTGTTCAGGACTACAAACCACTCAACAGAAGTAGAAACTCTTGTGACATACAGCCTTTTGTACTACTTTACTTGAAGCTTTTCCAACCCGCTCTCAATTTTGCTCTTAGGGTAATGATATCATTTTCTGTTTTTTTTTATATGATTTTCCCTAAATTTTATGTTACAAACTTTACCTGCTATGGTAATGCAGCTTAGGTTCACATTATTTTTCTTTTAATCCATGATATTTAATGTAGTTATGATAAATTCCTTAATAACCTTTCTTAGTTGAACACAGTCCTCCTGTAGTTATTTGGTGATGTCTAATCCTCTCAGTGGCTTCTTCCTTGGTGTGTAAGCTTAGAAGTAGATATTCCTAAAGACTTGGATCACCCCAATGGAATCTGATGTCTGAGGCAGAGTGAGGTACATGTATCCACATGACCTTCAGAAATCTTTCACTGTCTCACATTGTTTGATTTTAGTCTCCTCCTCGGTTGTTCTAAAAGGCTTAGTGACTGGGAGTGGTCAGGGCATAATTCCTGATTTCCACAATGGTAGTTACACATGGCTCATCTTAGGACTTTTAGGATGATGTGGCTGCAATGCCAGATACTCCACACGTCTGCCTTTATTCAAGGCAATTCCTAGGCTTACCTCCTGTACATAGATGTGTATGAGTATATTGCTCTCTGGACAAAGACTACAGTCATCCTTGAGTTGAGTTCTGGAGACCTAGATCTCAAGACAGACAATATTCATATTTTGACAAAAACTGTTGATGTTCTGAAGTTTCCGTTGTCAGATATTTATCTTATATAAGGCCACTTTCCATATTTGTAATAAAAGAGAGCACCGAATACTGTAATCAGAAGTAATTTTGAAAATTGTTCTTTTATCAGCATTAAGAAAAGTCAATGTTTTTTTTTCTTGGAGATGTTCCCTCTTGTCTACCTGTTTAATAATTACACACATGACGGACACATCAATACTCTCAAAGTATAAAATCAATAAATCACTTAATTTTAATTAACTTCTTTTAAGTAATACTATTTGATTGTTGTATTATAATGTAATACAGTGATGACATGTAATAAACCTTTTTAAAATTTCCTTTCACATTCCAAGCAAAATTCTCCCTCCCACTAAACTTCTGTCCCCCCACCTCATCTCCCACCCAACCCACCCCCATCCACTCCTCCCAAAAGGTCAGGACTCCCATGAGGAGTCAACAAATTCTGGTACATTAAGTTGGGACAGGACCAAGGCCCCACCCCCATGTAAAGGCTGAGCTTGGCATCCCCTCCTAGGGAATGAGCTCCAACAAGCTGGCTGATGCATGCACCAGGGATAGATCCTGGTCCTACTGCCAGGGGTTCCTCAGATAGCCCAAGCTTTACAACTGTCTCCCACATATGGAGGTCCCACTTCAGTCTCCTGGAGTCTCCACAGCTGTCAGCTTAGAGTTCATGATTCTCTACAAGTTTGGGTCAGTTGTCTCTGTAGATTTCTCCATCATGATCTTGACCTCCTCTACTCATGTGTTCCCTCCTCCCTCTCTTCAGCTGAATTCCTGGAGCTCATTCTGGTTCTTGGTTGTGGATCTCTGCATCTGGCTCCATCAGTTACTGGTTGAAGGCTCTATGATGATAGTTGGGGTAGCCACCTATCTGATTCCAGGAGTAGGCCAGTTTGTGTGCCCTCTCCACCATTCCCAGGAATCTTTCCTGGGGTCATCTTTGTGGAAGCTTGGGAATTTCCCTAGCCCCAGGTTTCTCCTTAACTCCGCAGTGGTTCTCTCTACCAAGATATCTCTTGCCTTGCTCTCCCTCTCCATTCCTCCCTCCTTGACCATCCTATTCCCTCATGTTCTCATCCCCAATCCCCTCCCATTTTCTAACCTCTTGCACCACTCTCATTTTAAACTATTTCAGGAAGGTTTCTTCAAAAATGATAAAATATTTTACACAAATAAAAATGCTTATCCCACCTCTCTCTCTGTGTCTCTGTCTCTCTCTCTCCCAGTGTGTGTGTGTGTGTGTGTGTGTGTGTGTGTGTGTGTGTGTGTGTGTGTGTTTTATGCAGGTGTCAGGTGTCAACTTTGAGTGGTTCATTTCAATGTTCTATTTTCATCAATAGATGGTCATAAGAAGTGATGATGAAAATGAAGCTTCAAAGCAAAACTTCAACCTGGGTCAAGTTTATTCAACACAGATGGACAAGACATCACATCACCAAATTTAAAGTATTGTTTATTCTCTGTAGCCATTAGAACTGATTAAAAATAGATCATAATTTGACCATAAAAATCTTAACAAATATGAAAAGATTAAAGTAATTTAGCCTTATCAGACTAGAAGTCAATACTAATGAAAAAAGACATCATGTAAAAACAACTGAGACTAAACAATAAGCTCTTGAATGACTAGTGTCTCATAAATAAATCAAGGATATTTTAATATGTAAAATCAAATACGGGTAAGGAAAGGCAATGTTTTTTCTTAGCATTCAATTTTAACTGAAAATTTTTTATAAATGTATTCAGATAAGGTTCCCTCCTCCTTCATACACTCCCAGTTACTCCCCTCCTTCTCCCCTTCCAATTCTATGACTTCTTTCTCTCTCTTTTTCGAAAGGAAAAAGGCAAATAAAAAACAAACAGACCAGTATAAACAAGGTAGGAGGAGGGGATGGGAAGAGATAAGGGAGGGGAAGCTGTAGTTGATATGTAAAATAAATTTGAAAAGTCAAAATAAAACAAATAGGAAAACACATGAAATACATATACATGTACAGACACCAACATTCGCTCAAATGCAAAACTCATATAAACATAAAATCAGAAAATATAGTATATAAGCAAAGACCAATAAGGTTAAAAAAAAGCCCAACCACAGCATTGTGAAAGAAAAAATTTCTAAAAAATACCATTGAGTTTCCTTGTGGTTATCTACTGCTGGCCATGCATCCCGGCCTTAAGTGTGGTTCTTATATATCCAGTGAGACTCCATTGGAGGAAGCCAGTTCTTACTCTGCTGGCAGTTGATGCTTGGAGATGGCTCCTGGGAGAAGTATGGGAACTCTATCTGTTACATTCAAAGGGCCACACACTCTG